CGTCGGCGCCCGGGCCGCCCGCGCCCCCGGGGTCGCAGGCGGCGCCGCAGGCCCCCCCGGCCGGCCACCAGATAGTGCACGTCCGGGGGGACTCGGAGACCGACCTGGAGGCGCTCTTCAACGCCGTCATGAACCCCAAGACGGCCAACGTGCCCCAGACCGTGCCCATGAGGCTGCGGAAGCTGCCCGACTCCTTCTTCAAGCCGCCGGAGCCCAAGTCCCACTCCCGCCAGGTAGGCGCCCCGCCGGCCGTCGGACGGGCCCGGGCCGCGGGGGCTCGCGGAGGGGGCAGCGGGGACGGGCCGGGAGCCGGGCCGGGAGGCGCCTCCCGGAATCCCGGGCCGAGATTTGTTTTCCCTCAGAGTTGGTCGGCGCGGCCGCGGCCCCGGGGGGCGTGCTTTCCCCTTCTTCCTTTCTTCCTTTCTTTCTTCCTGGGGCTCCCGGGAGGTTGGCGGGAGACGCGGGGGAGGGGGAGGAAGGAAGGCGGGGGGGGGCCGGGTGGGCTCGCACAATGTGCGCGCGTCCGCGCCCCGCACCTCGGCCGCCGCCGCCGGGACGGGGACCGGGGAGGGGGGGGAGGGACGAGGGGGAGAAGGAGCAGAGGGGGGCGGGGAAGGGAGGGGTGGGGGAGGGGAGGAGGGGGGAGGCCAGGGGGCCGGGGGGGGGGAGGGGCCGCTGGCATCCGCGTGGGGTGAGTGGCCCGCGGCGGCCGAGTTGGTGGCGGGGCGCCCTGGGCCCCCTTTCCTGCGGGGCCTGTGGGGCCGCGCGAGTGTCCTGGGGAGTCAGATAATTGTTCTCTTGTTTTGCAGTGTGGATTAGGGGTGGGGGTTGGAGCAGTGCGTGGACTTTCTGGCTCTTTCTCCGCTCCCGAGAGCGCCCGGCGCCTTCTGCGGGCGGCGTCCAGGCTTTCCTGGAAGGCGCTGCGGGGTCAGCGCCCGGCGCCGGCGCCCGGGGCGAGTGGGGGTCCGGGGTCGGGCCCCCCGCGGGAGACTGGGGGGCCCGTGCCGGGACTCAGGGGGCGCCCCCGGGAAGGGGACTCGGGGGGCCGGCTCCCGGGGGAGACGGGGGGCGCCCCCGGGTGGGGAACTAGGGAGGGCCGGCTCCCAGGGAAAGACTGGGGGGGGCCCTGCGGGGAGTTGGGGGGGGCTGGGGAGGGCCGGCTCCTAGGGCACTGGGGGGTCTGGGGTCCCTGCGGGGACTCGGGAGACCGGCTCCAGGGGAGACTGGGGGGGGCCCCGTGCGGGGAGTCGGGGAGGGCTGGCTCCCAAGGGGAGACTGAAGGGGGGCTTGTGCGGGGACTCTGGGGTCTGGGGCCCCTGCTGGGACTCGGGCCGGCTCCATGGGGGGGGGCTGGGGGGCGTCCCCGGGGGGAGGGCGTCCGGGCCGCCGACCGCGTCCGCTGCGCGGGGGAGCGGGCCCTCGCCGGGCTGGGGGGACGGGGCTGCGTGGCGCCGCCGCGACCCCGCGCGGTGCTGGGGAAGCGATGACTAATGCGCGGCTCGCCCTGGCTCTGGAGTTCGCCCCGGGGACGGGAGCGCGGCTGTGGCGCGCACGGCGCCCGCTCCCCTGGCCGGTGCGATCCAGCTCCGAGGAGAGACTGTTGGGAAAGTGTTCACATTCCCACCGCTCCCCGGACATCTGTTTGCTTAGGGCTTTTGCTTGAAGAACTTGCTTCAGGCTAAACTTGAGCATAGGAACTTTGCCCAAAAGTTAATTGGTTTTCCAAATACTGCGATGTAGTTGGTCCAGTCGGGCTGTAACTTGAGTGGGAAAGAAGAGTGAGCGCCCCCATTCCCCTTCCCCTGCCCCTCCTGTTTGCAAGGCCTGTTGTGTGCTCTCCAGCCGCAGACAGAGGGGTTTGGGAACTCAGAAAAACTTACGGAACCTGCTGGCGAAAGTCCGGCTTAGGGAGGACGAAGGAGAGACCATCGAGCTGCTTGCAGCTTAGGAGGGGGCACGATAGGGCGCTTTTCCTTCTCTTAGGCCTGGGGCTGGGTCTCTGGACTCGTTCCGGGGAAATGTGTGCTGGCATTGCTCCTTACGGACGACACATTTGGGCTGCGAGCTCCTGAGTATATTTTGAAGGCATAATACTCATAAGAGAATGAGTTTCTCATTTTGTGGCGTATGTAAGCCAAAAAGAACTGCAACTGAAAAGTTGCAAAAAAAAGTTCTTGTAAATGCCACGAGAATTATGTCCAGCAGTTTATGGATTCATCCTCTCTTCATAATCTCTAATTTTGTTTGTTTTTGGTAAGTTTCTTAACTAAGTGTTGTGCATCTGTAAGTTTGATTATTTAGTTCTGCTAGTGATTTCCTAAGTCAGGTTTATTCTGATTGGAAACTCAGCGGTGTGGCTGGCTTTAAGGCATAAATGCCTCTGCTGAATGCTTCTAGTCTCCTTCCCCATATCAGTCTAGGAAGTTCTTTAATAATCAAACCCTAATTCTAATGAGGAATTTAAGTAGCTATGCTGGATGTGGGTTATAAATACTATTGTGCACAAACTACTGGATATAAATTCCTTCATTCATGTTTATATACACACACGAAAGAAGCTCTCTTACAAATGACAAAACAGGCTCACAGAGACTGGTATTTGTTCACTGTCACAGTAGCCAATTTGGCCTGGAACTCAGATCTTTGGGGTCTGGGTGCAAACTTTTTTCTGCAGTTGAACTGTTCACGTTTTTACCATCTACGTAGGAATACATGGTTGGGTTTTCATTTCATTAGGTGTCTTAACTTTTGAATGATACTGAATCTCTTGCATTCATTAAAAATTGTGTAAGTTGTGATGGTTTTATTGATGGCATTGGTCCATGGTGAGAAAAAATGACAGTTGTCCTGTGTTTAGGGCTTGGCTTGGAAAGAAACATTAACTACTTAAAACCTAGCTGAAAAAAGAGAAAATGTATAGTTATTATATTCCTGGGTCGTGTTATACCTGGGACCTTTTAGAACTCAGAACAGCACCCATACGGGGTCGGATGGTTAAGCATCTGCCTTCGGCTCAGGTCATGATCCCTGAATCCCTGGGTCCAGGCCCCCCACCCCCAGTGGGGCTCCTTGCTCAGCGGGGAGTCTGCTTCTCCCTCTGCCTATGCCCCTTCCCCCACCCCCGCTCTTGCTCTTTCTCTCTCTCAAATAAATAAAATCTTTAAAAAAAAATTAAGTTTTAAAATCCAACATACGGTAGAAATGTTCCATTCATTTTGTACTGTTTTCTTCTAAAATGTATAGAAGGCACATCCAATGTGTGCTAGGTAGAAATTAACTTAGATGGACTGCTGATCTATAAAGTTACAAATGTGAAAGTACACACTAAAATCACACAAACCATTTAAAAATACACACCTATAAATCTATATTCCTCTGTGTCAAACTTTAATTTTTGCCTTTGGTACTTAGATATTTGGTTGCAATGAAATCCTGTCAAGGAAATTTAAAGGGACCCTCTTTAAAAATAATTCTTAAGAAATTTTTGTTTTACTGTTCCCAATAGGCCAGTACTGATGCAGGCACTGCAGGGGCCCTGACTCCACAACATGTTCGAGCTCATTCCTCTCCAGCTTCCCTGCAGCTGGGAGCCGTATCCCCCGGGAGCCTGACGCCCACCGGAGTGGTCTCTGGCCCAGCAGCTGCACCCACCGCGCAGCACCTTCGACAGTCTTCCTTTGAGATCCCTGATGATGTGCCTCTGCCGGCAGGCTGGGAAATGGCAAAGACGTCTTCTGGTCAGAGGTACTTCTTAAAGTAAGTGAAAACCTATTTTGGAAAGCACAGTAAGGTGGTATTAGGAAATAAAATGTCATTTGTTTTTATGTTTTACTTTATGTCAAGCTTAGTTTTATATATAGAGATAAACCCATAATATATACATACACACACACACACACACACACACACAAATGTTTTTTTTCCACTTTAACGTGACCTGATTACCTTCTTCAGCTTGGGTAATATTTTGAAAGCTTGATGGATTCTTGGTTCAGAGCCTTTTAATAATCTTTTCTTTTGTGGCAATTTGGATATTCTCATTTTGACTTTGTTCCAAATCTGTTAATTAGCTTAGGTTAAAACTGAAAGAATACTATGAAACATTTCAAACTGTGGGACTTAGAGGCTGGCATAATCTTAGGAAATGTCTGTGGCACAACGACATCTCTTCAAATGCACATTTTAATGGTAGAGAAGAACTACAAAATAAGTAGGTCTTCTTTGGGAGTCAGATTTTACAATATTTGAGATTGTCAAATCACAAACTCTTTAGCTGCAGTTTGATGTGACGGACCCAGGCCCCAGCCCAAAAAGTAAAGAGAACTATGAGTTTCCATGTTTATATAATCGCTCCGTGGCCGACTTCTTTCAAGCTAGCAGGTCCTCAAGACAGAATCCTGTTCTGGGAAAACAAAAACAAAAGGCCATTGCATTATTTATTTTTATGAGACTTTTTGTCTTTAACAAAATGGCAAAATTTCATTCAGGCTGAAAAGATCAAAATAGAATTTTATCCTTTCTCACTTCGAATTTGTAGATAAGAACTAAGTATTTTTATCTGGCCTTTTGGATTTAAGTGTATACAAAACTTTTCCTTAAAGTAATTATAGACTGAAATTGATGTTTTTAAATAAAGTTGCTTACTTCTTGCTGTTTAATCAGGTTGAGATAAAGTGAAAAACAATCCAGGTTTTGATTGAGATCTGTCTTGACAGTCTACTTCTAAGGCAAATGTAACATTTAGTTATTAGATCAGATAATACAATTAGTGTTTTGTTGTGTGAGTCTTAGTAAGTATTTTATATTGTCTTTAAAGGTAGGTGGTTTGTAATGAAACATAGGGTTTTCGGAAAGGCTTGTTTAAAAGAGCGGAACAAAAGTTTGATCTTGAAAAGTTTCTATTGTTTTTTTGCCCCCTCTCCTGTAACATTTTTCTTCTTTTTAAAATTTAAATTTTCTGGTGTCCTGGTATCCATTTCAAAGGGTCAAGTTTCAACCAGAACAATAAAGGGCCTGAAACTGGAAAGTACACACAAGTCTGGCAAACTCATCTGCATGAGCAAGATCATTTGTTCTCAAGCAGACATCCAAAGTAAATGATTGAAAGAGCTGCTAGCTGTGAGGGATGCGTCAGGAACGGAGACAAACCAGGTCCTTGGAAGCAAAAAGGAAGGCTGTACTTTTTTGAACCTCACCCTGCTGGGTCCCATGTTGACCTGGGGAGATTTTTTAAACAGCTTAATAGCCTGCTTGCCTCCTTTCTTTGGCTGATGCTGTAGTTAAAAGTATAAGGTTAAAGAGCAGCCTTTATGCTCTTTTTAGTCTTTTGTATCTTGTAATAATTGCTTCCAGGTGACATCCGCCTACGTTTTCATTATTTTGAGTGATCTTGTTATTTTGACCTGAAATAAATGTTCTCTAGGTCCATTTGAAAAAGTTTCCAGTGGTTTTTCCTTTGAGAAGAAGTGTTTCTCTTAATGATACTGATAAAGATGGGTTAATGAACACCCCAGTTGAATGGGTCTGTAGGGAAGTTAAACCAGGCCAAAATGATCGGGAAAGTTACCCCATGTGAAAAATGGTTGTAGGGAGTGGAGAGAAGCTTACCTGGGAAAGAAAAAAGAGGAGAGAAAATATGATTGTTCTTAACAAATGAAAAGGAAAAAATTAAAAAAACAAAAACCAAAAAACGTGGTCCTTTAGGATTTTTGAGGGACTCTCACATAGAAGTAAAATTGGACTTATTATAAGAAACATGAGGATTTGAGACTCCATGGAATAATTTTCTCAAACCTTTCAGAAATACAAGGATTTTTCCTGAGAGATAGGCGAAATCATGGATGAGTGGGTACTTGTCAGGAATTGTAGAGAGGGCCCCTAAGCATTGGTTTGTGGAAGATGGCTACTGTGGGCTTATAAAATTTTGTATTCTTCTAAACAGTATCTGCTTTAGGAACAATATGTAATTTGGAGAAGTTATAAAAAGTTAGTTTACATCCAGTTGTTAGCTACTTTCGTGACGTTTTGGGTTGTATGAGTTGCCATACACGACTTATTTTTCGCACTGCACAGGTAAATGAGCTCATTAGTATCTGTTCTGACTATGAGTCAGAGATGATGGTAAATGAACCTTCTTTTGGAGCCAAGTTGCTATTGTCCAAGTTCATTTTTATCCTGATGTCATGTTTTCAAGTCAGGCTCTGTTTGGGGCCAATATTTATATTTTTCTTGTGTCTGAAGAAGATTCTTAGTGCCATCAAGATGTACAATGCAGATTTATACTAGTTACTTTATACTCTTTCGACAATGAAAAACTGTATTTTGCTATATACATCTTTTCATTTTTTTATTTTTATATACATCTTTTTAAGATAATCATGGGAATTAACTTGTAAGTTACAAAGTGTATAATTTGTTGAAGTTTATACTTGGCATGAAGAAATCTGACTGTGAATGATCCAGACATGTAAGGTGATGTAATTTGATTGAAAAGTTAGAAATGTTGACTTTGGAAACCAATTGTTGCCTTGTGACCATAGATGATGATGTTTTGGTCAGTTGGCCCATCTTCTAGTTTCAAAGCAGCATAAGTACTGAAGGATTATAGGCAAATGATCATTGCTATTTCTGAAGCCCTCTGTAGCTCAGTGAGATCTGGAGAAAGGACGTTTCTTAGCCTGGCAAGTGACAAGGAAGGAAGCTGCATTTATCACTAACACGTATTGAGCTCTGGTATGATTCTGAAGTATGTGAAAAAAGCTCCCCATCTGTATATTATGTGTAATATCTGTGCTAGTGAGTTTACTGTTTTAAAACTAATCTTGTCAACATTGTGTATTGAGCTTTTGTTTTAAAAGAATTCTTCTCTGTATTACTCTGAGAATTATTGCCTTCTTCAGCTGTCTTATAGTTTTCCTACAGGAAATGGTTCTTCAAGTAGGTGGTCAACAACTTCCTATTTCTTTATAAGCTGCTGAATGACTTCCTGAATTAGTATTCTATAATATTTCTGGTTACAAGGCGTGTTTTTACTTCTCAGATTTTATTTTATTGAATCTGATACCTTGTAACTGTTAATGGTAATAGTTACAAAGAACTTCTTGTATATAATGTATGATATAGAATTATAATATGGTTTAAGAAATCTGATTCATTGATCTTGAAAGTCTGTACATTTGCATTGCTGTAATAATGTTCTTGTAATTTTTAAAGATGAATTTGTTTCATTTCTGTTATTTGTCATTTTCTGAATAACTGGCCATAGTGTTTTAGTTTGAAGATTGAAGGTTTCTTGTGGCCCTGATTTGATTAAAAGTTATATTGAGTATCTTGATCCACATTTTAAAAAGGTATTTTTCCAGAGATTTTCAACATTGCACAGCATATAACTTAGGCAGTATTTCAACATTAAATGAACTTGCCTTGCAGATGTTATTGATCACTATAATTGGTTTGCTTCTTTTTTTGCTACATGTTATTTCAGAAGTGAATGTTCACTGGCCGAATTAAGCTACCTCAGAAATATATTGATTAAGGGAGATGATTAAACCATTTCATACTATAATTTGACGTATGCTTCTCCCACACACTTGCCCAGTAGGAGACTAAAAACACAGTATATGTTACCATAATACAGATTGGATGTTTTAAAAAGGAACAGCTTCATAGAGAATAAGGCTATTCTGTTTTCTGGTTTCTTGATATGACTAGGGTAACCCAAGTGATTTCCCGTTAAAAATGAAAAGCTTGTAATATTGCCATTAAATGTTGATTAAGCTGCAAAAAGAAAAAAAGTTCAAATTGCAATCACAGAGTGTTTCCCTGTCTGAGGGGAGTGCCGGTGTGTGCCTGTTTGTCTTGCTGTAGCGGCGCTGGGGAGGGAGGGGGGAGATGAAACTTTGCCCCTACCACCCCCACCCCCCCCAGAAGAAATGCTTGCCTCTGCTCAGTGGGTGGGTGGCCTGGGCAAGAATGGCCACAGTGCCACGTGATTTAAGCAGAAAAACGAGGCACTGTTGAGTACAGGGGCAGAAGAAAAACAGTTTGGAGGTAGCAGATGTGACAGAGTAAATAGAACATAGAGATTAATTTATTTCCTGAGGAGAAAAATGAGCAATTTTTGTGTGAACTAAGAAAGATAGCTGACAAACTAACAGTGAAATACAGCAAACTCTCAATTGGCTGCAAGATGGTAGGCTCATTTTCTATAAAAAAATAACATTCAAAAATACTCTTCCCCAAAAGCCTCACGTTAACTATTAAGAAAAAAGTTTAGGTGGGGCACCTGGGTCGCTCAGTCGTTGAGCGTCTGCCTTCAGCTCAGGCTCAGGTCATGTCCTGATCGAGCCCTGCATCGGACTCCCTGCTCAGTGGGAAGCCTGCTTCTCCCTCTCCCACTCCCCCTGCTTGTGTTCCCTCTCTCGCTGTGTCTGTCTGTCAAATAAATAAAATCTTTACAAAAAAAAAAAAGCTAGGTACCATTTGAATAGTTGAAACTTAAGAAAACATGTTTTTGAAATCCTGAGATGGGTCCCCATTAGTAATATAATGAGTTTTACTTGATAGTTAGAAAAATAATGTAAATTAGCACCTAAAATAGTATTGCTAGCATGAATCTGAATTGCCTTTTACCTTAAGGATTTGGGGGAGAGGCAGACTCTGAGCCTAACCTTTTAGTTGTCCAAAATGTGTACTGAAGTTTAGGCTTAGGGCAAATCAAAGTGAAGTCATTTTAAAAATCATTTGTTAAGATTTAA